TAAGATGTACCAAGAAGTGGAGACTTAGAAAGATTTCAAACAAAATGAGTCTTTTTAAGGGACATAAAGGGCAGAGTGAGCACTTACTAAGAAGTAGCCTGATCTTGGGTCTGTCCTATTTCAGTACATGAACTAGACCATTTTCAAAATACACACACCATCCTTCCAATTCTTGAAATAGAGTGGTCAGCATAAGGCGTCACCCACGCAGCCTCACCTTGAATTTAAACCACACTAAAAACTTTCCCTTCCCTGTAAAATCATCCACCCATGTAGACTCTCATTTGCAGACACATTCACTTTACCTTGGCATGCCCAGGCAGACGGCATTGAAGGTATCCAGGCTAAGGAGCAGTTAACTCAGAAGCTGCAGGGACCTCTCCAGAGCCCCGTCAGTATCGGGGCAGTTAGTAAGTGCCTCCCTTACTCCCTCCAGGTTCTCTTCCGAGACTGTGGTTCTGCCACCAAATGCACTGCTAGGTCACAGGGCAGAGACTTTTTATCCCACTTCTCTTTTTATCCCCAGGAGAATAAGGCCTTCAGTGCCTAAAGCTGTTGTTCAATAAACATTTTTCGAAGTACAGAATGCAAGCTTACTCAATAAAAAGATAAATCCCGCCTTCTGTTTCTGCCCTCTTTTACCCCAGCCCGTCTTTCAGAGATATGTTAAGGTCAGTGAATTCTGCATACTGTCAGCATACACAATTCTAACTGTGGAGGGTTCTGGAAGAGAAAAGACTGCAAAAAGCAGATGTAGTTTTCATCTCTGGGATGGCTTAGGTACCAGAACCTGTACAAAGTCTGTAAGCAGGCCCTGAAAAACAGCAGCATTCTAATTTTATTAAAAACATCAATCTATGTCCTGACTCCCCTAGCTCTTTCCATTGGAAGGGACGAAAAACAATGACATCTCAGTTCATGAGGAGCAAAGTTGGCAGGCAGATCTTGACTTCCAAATACCATTCGCTATTAAAAAGGAATCCATGTTTCTTGGAGAAATGGTTGATTATAAGTCTGGAGCAAGGGAAGGTCAAGGTGAGGCAGAAACATTTCTTACCAGGAGGTGAGGGAGTGCTCAGTGATAGATGGGGACATGTCCAAGGGACAGAGGAACTAGCCTGAAGGAGCTCCACTCACCAAGTCCGGGATAATTAGAACACCAGAAAGAAAAAAGGTGGCAAAGCATTACAAACCACATAGTGACACTCGACAGGGGAGAAAATGTTACAGAAAAAAAAATCTAATAAAACACAGAAGGAGTGAAAATTAAGAAATCACAATTTTCTAGCCACCGATGTACAATAGCTGATTCAGACAAGGATCATCAACGAATGCTAATGAAAGGCATTCAGAAGAGACAGTCTCAAATTATCGTCCTGCGGGTTACAGATAAATTGAACAAGGGGACAAAGGTGCCTTTATAATGGAAAGATCTGGTGGGCACCACCTTCACCAAATGACTGAACTGAGCCACAGTAACAGGACACCGGATGGCCTGGCACGACATCGTGGAAACAGACGTGCCTCCACAGGTGCTGCGGCTCTCAGGACAAAAATGGCTGACCCTTAGGTAACCATGAGGAAATCATCAGACAAACCCAAATTACAGAACATTCTATACAACCACCCTAGACTCTTAAATGAAATTTTAAAAAGTCAATGTCTTGAAAGATAAACAGAAAAAGCAAGGAACTGGCCGGGCGCGGTGGCTCACGCCTGTAATCCCAGCACTTTGGGAGGCCGAGGCGGGTGGATCACGAGGTCAAGAGATCGAGACCATCCTGGTCAACACGGTGAAACCCCGTCTCTGCTAAAAATACAAAAAATTAGCTGGGCATGGTGGTGCGTGCCTGTAATCCCAGCTACTCAGGAGGCTGAGGCAGGAGAATTACCTGAACCCAGGAGGTGGAGGTTGCGGTGAGCCGAGATCACGCCATTGCACTCCAGCCTGGGTAACAAGAGTGAAACTCCGTCTCAAACCCCGTCAAAAAAAAAAAAAGAAAAGAAAAGAAAAGAAAAAGCAAGGAACTGTCTGGAACAAAGGCATCTAAAGAGAACCACCAAATGCAATGCTGCACGAGCTCTTGGACTGGAATAAAAATAGCTATACGACACACCTGTGGACAGCTGAGGAAAAGCGACCACATGTTGCACATTAAACAACATTTTTCTTTTTCATTTTCTGAGACAGGGTCTCACTCTGCCGCCCAGGCTGGAGTGCAGTGGCAGTCTCAGCTCTGCATGCTCCGCCTCCTGGCTCAAGTGATCCTCCCACCTCAGACTCCCAAGTAGCTGGGACCACAGGTGCACACTACCACGCCCAGCTAATTTTTGTATTTTTAGTAGAGATGGTGTTTCGCCGTGTTGCCCAGGCTGAACTCCTGAGCTCAAACGAGCCTCCTGCCTTGGCCTTCCAAAGTGCTGGGATTACAGGTATGATCCACCACAGCCAGTCTTAAATAACATTACAGCACATAATTCTTTGCACGTGATAATAATCACAGCTAGGTAGAATTATAACTATTCTGAGGCAAAACATGTTTTAGTATTTAGGGGTAAAGTAAAGCAACTTACTTTCAAATATTTCTACAAAATATATGTGCATATGTGTTTGTGAGAGACAGAAAAAGCAAATGTGCTAATTTACCTAGGGGACATGTATACAGGTGTTCACAGTACTTTTCTATAATTTTTTTAAAAAATGGGCATTACTCAAAATAAAAAGTTTGGAAAATCATTAGTAGTTTGAAAAAGGTAGCTTTAGGTGAGAAAGTCCAATATAAAATAAAACCTGTGGCCGAGCGTGGTGGCTCACGCCTGTAATCCCAGCCCTTTGGGAGGCTGAGGTGGATGGATCACCCGAGGTCGGGAGTTCAAGACCAGCCTGACCAACAAATGTAAAGAAACCCCATCTCTACTAAAAATACAAAATTAGCCAGGCATGGTGGCATAAGCCTGTAATTCCAGCTATTCGGGAGGCTGAGGCAGGAAAATGGTTTGAACCTTGGAGGTGGAGGTTGTGAGTCAAGATTGCGCCATTTCACTCTAACCTGGCAGACAGAGCGAGACTCCGTCTCAAAATAATAATAATATTAAAATAAAGAAGAAAATAAAACCTGCTTTTATTACACAAAGTCAGAGCCTACACAGATTGGTACAAACCAAGAAACCAACTTACAGTTTTTATTGTCTTTTGCAATAACTGATTAAATACAACATTGCCACATTTTATATGTCAAAACTATACAAATTTTAGGTATGTCCGCAGCTCTAGGCAAGGTGGTGGCCGGCCTGGTGTGCAGCATGCGGGACAGGGCCTTCTCCCAGGGGCCTCAGCACCGGCTCCGGCATCTTGGGGCTGGGAGGGGCAGCAGCCTGGGGAGCTCACGCTTTTGAAATGAAGCCAGCAACCTGGACTTTTATGGAAAGCTTCTCTATTTTTAAAACCCCATTTGAGCCGAAGAGCCCACATCAGCAGGCCTTCACGTTTTATCTCTGCCGTTAAAGAACGTGGGAAGAGCCCTTTCTCAGCTCTCACCAGGTTCAAATCCCTGCACCAGAGGAGCGGCAGCAGTTTCCACGGATCTCTGCAAACTACCCACAGTGTCATCCAGCCATTGTCTAATACCGCCCAACTTTTACCAGACACACAATCATGAAAGGCCGAACAAAATGAACTCTCCCAGAAGTAATTTCTTCAGAGAGGGAGAAATGTTCTTTGTTGTATCCTTTTTAAAGAAAAAATTACTTCTGTAAGACAAGTAACTACTGTAATTATTTGCTCACTCATTTTTACCTAGCAATTGTTTCAATAATAAAAACAAAACTAAGCCCTCATCAACGTGACCCTGGGAGGAAGCTGCTCCTGAGTAACTGCTTCCTCCCACCCTCCTACACCCACTCTTCCTCTTTCAAAAGGGATTTCTGAGCCTGCAATTTGGAAGGCTGGCAACAGCACTTTCAGTTTTTAACCAACCTTTGAATGCAGTTTTGACATATTAAAAGCTAGTACTGTGCTAAAGAAAGCCATATTTTTGTGAAGACATTTCAACTTGAGAATTAATGAGCTGAATGCTGCACTCTGCCAGAAAAAGACATTTGAAAGAAATTCGATCTAAAGAGCCTACCTTTAAGGTGAACTACGTTCACACCCAATTTAGCCAACACACCAAGCCAGCTGTTTTCCATGCAACAACTGGGGTATTCTACGGCATCAGACATGACCCTCAAACTCATTTATACACAGAGCTGGTTTTACCCCGGAAAGAGCCAGTAAGTAAAACAACTAATGTGGCCTAAGTCTCTCTTACAAGCTGCCAGTGCTCAAACAAACAAGTATTCAACTTATCAAGAAAATGTGTCCAACTCTGTAGGCAAAGAAAGAAGAAAAGAAAAAAAGAAAAAAGGAAAGGAAAGGAGAGAAAAGGAAAGGAAAGGAGGGAAGGAGGGAAGGGAGGGAAGGGAGGGCGGGGTGGTCAAGTCCCTCTGCACTATCAAAGTAACAGCTGTTTACAGAGGGCCTACCACACGTAGGCCCTATACTAAGGATTCTAAGGAATATAAAAGTGGAAGGCGCAGGAACATGGCTGTTTAGAGAGGCAAGACATAAAAACTCATAACTAGCTGAGCAGGGTGGTTCACGTCTATAATCCCAGCACTTTGGGAGGCTGCGGTGGATGGGTCATTTCATCTGAGGTCAGGCGTTCGAGACCAGCCTGGCCAATATGGTGAGACCCCCCATCTCTACTAAAAATACAAAATTAGCTGGACTTGGTGGTATGCGCCTATAATCCCAGCTACTCAGGAGGCAAGGCTGGAGAATCACTTGAATCCAGGAGGCACAGGTTGCAGTGAGCTGAGATTGCGCCACTGCATTCCAGCCTGGGTGACAAGAGTGAAGCTGTCTCAAAAACAAAGGCACACAAACAAACCTATACAACTATACTGTTATATAACTATATACAACAAGAGAAAAGAAGACTGAGAAAGGAGGCGATTAACACCAAATGAACTGTACTAACAAAAAAGCTCTAAGCTATTCAGGGGGAAACCACTTCAGGCTGGGATGGTTAACGAAGACTTTGCTGGGGAGGTGATGTCTGCACAGGGCTCTGAAGAGAAACCCTGAGAGAGAGGAGCACATTCTTGGCAGGGAGAGCATCAGCAAGAGTGAGCCAGGGATGGGCCGACTCCAGAGAAGCCTCTCAGACCCACTTACAGAACGTCCATGAACAGCTTCAAGCGCCAGTCTGCTGCTGACACTCCAAGCGAATACACATCTAAGCTAATTCTAGACCGTAAGAGTGACAAGGACCCAGGAAGACTACATTTAATCACAATCCAGTCCTCTGCAGGCTCCTTTTCCCACCCGTTTCCTCACTGGAAGGATACCAAGAGAAACGATTTCCACTTAGTCTGCTGGTAAACCCAGGTTTCAAATTGCATGCTATCTGTGAATATGTGTTCGTACCTAATAAGGCAGTTATAAAAACTAAAATTCATAAAAACTTGAGCCCTTTCAAAGAAAAGTCGGGATCCCAGTAGTTACAGCACATCCATTCAATTGTCCAAATACTTACTGACAGCCCAGAGCATCCGCAGCTAGTATTGAAGACCGCTTCTGGCAAACACACAACGGTACATGGCGTGCACGTTATATCAGGAAAGAAGTCCCACATCTAAACCAAAGTCATCTGCCTCAGGTACAGTCTTTAGTGAGACAAACACATCAAGTCACAACAGCAGGCTGCTAATCTGCACTTAGATCAAACCAGAAAATAACGCTGAGGTGGGAGGACTGCAGGAGCCTAGGAGACGGAGGTCACAGTGAGCCGTGATCATGTCACTGCACTCCCGCCTGGGTGACAGAGCCAGACCTTATCTCGGAAAAAAAAAAAAAAAAAAAAAAAAAAGAACGAAAGAAAAAATACAATGGCTATATTAAAATTAAAAACAGGCCAGGTGCGGTGGCTCACGCCCGTAATCCCACCACTTTGAGAGGCCAAGGCAGGCAGATCACCTGAGGTCAGGAGTTAGACACCAGCCTGGCCAACATCTCTACTAAAAATACAAAAATAAGCCAGGTGTGGTGGTGGGCATCTGTAATACTGGCTACTCAGGAGGTTAAGGCAGGAAAACTGCTTGAACCCAGGAGGCGGAGGCTGCAGTGAGCCAAGATCACACCACTACACTCCAGCCTGAGCGACAGAGTGAGACTCCATCTCAAAAATAATAAAATAAAATAAAAAACTAAAAACAAATGTGTAAAAATTTGACATCCTCCAAGCCATTTATTCTACGATCAAATACATATAAAGCTTAAATTATGAATTTCATCTTTAAAAACCTCAAATTCCAGCTGGGTGCAGTGGCTCATGCCTGTAATCCCAGCACTTTGGGAGGCTGAGGTGGGTAAATCACCTGAAGCCAGGAGTTCAAGACCAGCCTGGCCAACATGGCAAAACCCCGTCTCTACTAAAAGTACAAAAATTAGCCAGGGGTGGTGGTGGGCATCTATAATCCCAGCTACTCAGGAGACTGAGGCAGGAGAATCGCTTGAACTCAGAAGGCAGAGGTTGCAGTGAGCTGAGATCGCGCCACTGCACTCCAGCCTGGGCGACAAGAGCAAAGCTCCATTTCAAAAAAAAAGAAAGCCTCAAGTTCCATGGTTCTGATGATACACTTGCTCCCAAGCTAACATTTAATATGGAAAAGTAAGTTCAACCTAACATGTTATAAAATCTAAGGAAAAAGCATCATGATAGGTGTGAAGTAGCCCAATAAAAGGTTGGGTTTCTTTTCTGGGGCCTTCTCCTTAACGTATGATTCTGATGAGTATCATAGACGGCATCAATTACAGCTGAAAGAACAGACGGTAAACATGTTGCTCATATACCATGCACCAAAACATTTGCACTTCCAAGTACTTTAGCATTTTTGACCAGGAATCGGTTCTTTTTACCACCCCTCTCTCAACGCCTGCCCTCACAGTTTACCACGCAATGGTATAAAGCAGCTATGTTTACTTTTGATCAAGCAGCCATCTCAACACATACTACACAACAGACAGGGATGGGCGGAGGCCGGGAGGGCTGTGAGATATTCTGCATCAACCCGCGGGGCTTCTTCCATTTGTCCACCCACTCCTTTGCTCCAAGAGTTCCGGGCATGATGTATTTTTGCTAGAGGACAGGAGAAAGAAATTTCAAAATCTCTTTAAAAATCCACGTTTTCTCTTAGGAAACAGCACAGTTCAAGGTATGCCACCTGGGCTGCTGGGTCTGTCTCAAGGAAAGGTCACTACAGCCATTGACTACCCGTGTGTTCCAGCCTCCAGCCTACACTGAGCTTCACCTGTACTACCTTCACTTAACACACAGGGGTCCGCAACTCCTGCTGGTCCAGGGGCTGTTGGGAACCGGGCCACACAGCAGGCGAGCCAGTGTTCCTGCCCGAGTGCCACCTCCTGTCAGGTCAACAGAAGCAGCAGACTCTCATAGGAGCGAGAGCCCTACCATGAACTGAACGTATGAGGGATCTAGGCTGCAGGCTCCGGAAGAGAATCTAATGCCTGGTGACCTGAGGTAGAAGAGTTTCACCCGAAGGCATCCCCTCCACCCACTCCACAATAGGTGGAAAAACTGTCTTCCTCAAAACCAGTCTCTGGGGCCAAACAGGTTGGGGACCACTGCTTTAATGGACCTTCACATGACTTTATTAGCAGGCAACAGGGACACAATCCTAAAAGACATGGGAAAAATTACCCATAAAATCAAAAACTTCACATGTAAAAAGTTTTAATTCCACAGAGAGGTCACTCATCTGATTTATCCACACCATGATATTTTTAAATAGTGTTAAAAAACACACAGTAGTAGGGTTTTTTTCTGACCTCTTAAAATAATTCAAGTTAGTGACGCCCACACTGTGTTTAACTCTATTCTGGAAGGCTGTGTTCTTGCAGATCTGAGTGGCAGGTGGGATGGAAGTGCTCTGAACCAAAATTACTGACGACTGGCTCCTCCTCAAGAGCAAGAGAAGCTGCTACTAAATACAGCTCCATCCGCTTTAAGGTTTTCTGCCATAAATTTCCCTAAACCTTTGGGTCCTAGAAACAAGGGCTACTACATGAACACTGCCCGCAAAAAAACAGGTAACAAAGGGGAAAAGCCACGGGTACAAAGGAGCAGGCAAGCGAATCTCAGCAAAGAACTAGGACATTCCCACAAACCTAATCTGACAGTTCTGCGACACCCCCAACTCCGTCCCCCAACAACAGTGGTTGTGATTTTATACTGTTCATATGACAGCCATGTGTCCTGTCAAAATTGTTCCTGGTCCATACAAAAGACCAGGCATATGTCAATACTCCACAGTATCCGGCAGAGGATTATAGCTTCGAAGTTTCAAACCACTGCTATAAGCACAAAACAAAGAATTATGCTCAACAGAAAAATAATCATCTACTAAAACATTAGCATGTCTACATTTGGCTAAAGCAAGACTACTATTCAGACCTAGCTTTAGATACAATGTTTTAATAGAAGGACAATTTCAGACTGTTCTAGTTAAAGACAAACACTATTCCTTCTCTCCCTGCTGAAACTAACATATAACATATACGCCACTAACCATAGTTAAAACTGGTTTAACAAGGTCTTCTGGAATACTTTCTCTTAAAATACTTTTAGTGTATTCTTCTTCAACAATTTCCAGGCAAGACCACCAGGAAACTTCTGTTAACACTATTTAATACACTGGCATAAGAGACACTGAGCTTTCAAATAAAATTCAAAGTATAATCTAGTATGCCTAATTACATCTTTTGTATTTTAATTTAAATTAGAAAAATAAGGCCCATTATAGTTCTATTGTCTGTTACATTTCTGAAAGATCTCAAGATGGACATCTCAGACATTAGCCTGGGGGCTCTGTGTTTTCAGTTTGCTCACTGTCCTGAAGATAATCAACTCAGACATTCCTGACCGACTCATCTGGGTACATCTGTCCTTCAGTGCTGTCACATGTGTTCCCTTGATGTCTCAGTAACTTTTATGGTACCTCAAGGCCAAAAAATTTTACCATTTATTAAGTTATTAGGTCTAAACAATTTAGAAAGCATTTATGTCCTAATAACTTAGTAATCATTTGAAAAAATAATAAACTTAAGTTGAAGAAAAAATGTCTTTGCTTCACTTTAAAATAACCAGAAGTGGCCAGGCGAAGTGGCTTAGGCCTGTAATCCCAGCACTTTGGGAGCCGAGGTGGGTGGATCACATGAGGTCAAGAGTTCAAGACCAGCCTGACAAACAGGAAAAAAACCCTGTCTCTACTAAAAATACAAAAATTAGCCAGGTACGGTGGTGTGCGCCTGTAATCTCAGCTACACAGGAGGCTGAGGCAGGAGAATCGCTTGAATGCGGGAGGTGGAGGTTGCAGTGAGCCAAGGTCACAACACTGCACTCCAGCTTGGGCGAGAGAGCGAGACTCTGTTTCAAGACAAAAAACAACAACAACAAAAAAACATTAACTATTGTTTAAGAGACATCCTGTGGGGAAAAAAATGTTATCAATATTAGTTCGTCAATTTTAACAAACATACTGATCAAGGCAGGAGGCAGACAAATGCCTAGGCAGATAGGGGCAAGGTCCCTGGTGAAATCCAATCTTCAAGCCAGAGACAGTCCTGGGTAAATCCTTGGACAGGATTGAGAACCCACCTTCCTATTCGGTTCACTTTCCTCTGATTGATTTCCATCCTTCACCTATTTTAAATGTACCTACCTTTTCGTAATTGATTTTCTTTCTCCCCCAAACCCTGGGACAGAGTTTCGCTCCTGCTGCCCAGGCTGCAGTACAATAGCACAATCTCAGCTCACTGCAACCTCCACCTCCCGGGTTCAGGCGATTCTCCTGCCTCAGCCTCCTGAGTAGCTGGGACTACAAGCGCGCACCACCATACCCAACTAATTTTTGTATTTTTAGTAGAGAGAGAGTTTCACTATGTTGGTCAGCTGGTCTCAAACCCCTAACCTTAGGTGATCCACCTGCCCCAGGCTCCCAAAGTACTGGGATTACAGACATGAGCCACCGCACCCAAGCTCCTAACTGGTTTTCTACACTATCATGCCCACCTCTGAGTGGTGTCTTCTCTTTAACCTTTTTTGCACATACACAAAGCAATCAGCACACACTCCCTCTTCTGAGCCCATAAAAAGCCCTGGGCTCATTCCATCCCAGGAACTCTCTTGCCTTTGCGTAGGGGGACCACCCCCATGTCCCCTCCCCACTAAAAACTGTTTCATCATTCAATAAAACTTCCCACCTTGCTCACTCTTTGAGTGTCCACATGCCTACTTCTTCCTGGTGATGAGACAAGAGCCTAGACCTAGCTGAGCTATGGAGCCAAAAATCCTGCACCAATACCACACAAGATGTTAATAGCAGAGAAATCTGTAAGGTGGAAGGAGAAGGTATATGGAAATTCTCTGTACTAGCTGCTCAATTTTCTGTAAACCTGTAATTGCTCTAAAAAATAAACTCTATTAGATATGAACAAAAGAAATAAAAGCAATCAAATAACACATTGGCCAAAGGTAAAAACCAATTGTGCTCATGCTATAAGAAAACTGGCCAGGTGCAATAACTCACGCCTGTAATTCTAGCATTTCGGGATGTCAAGGTGGGTGGATCACTTGAGGCCAGGAGTTTGACACCAGCCTGGCCAACATGGTGAAACCCCTTCTCTGCTAAAAATACAAAAATTAGTTGGGTGTGGTGCTGTGCGCTTGTAATCCCAGCTACTCAGGTGGCTGAGGCAGGAGAATCACTTCAACCTGGGAGGCGGAGATTGTAGTGATCGTGACACTGCCAAACTAAGACAATTATCTCACTCATGACCCTAAAAACACAAGATGTAAATCTCACGAGACTTTGTTAGAAACCAGTTATTTTAAGTATGTAATTAGCCAACTAAAAAAAGGAACTAGGTATAAATAAGAGCATATAAGTCTCCTTCCTTCTACAGAGAAAAGAAAAGGCCAAAGGAAGATAATAGCAGAAAAACGATCACGCTTCAGTTTAGGCCCTGAGAATAAAACACTCCGTTTATCATATGAATTGTGAAAGGAAAATAAATCTTGGGGCCCCAAAATCAGTAAGTTAAAGAGAAAAGTCAAGCTGGGAGGCAAACCTGCCTCCATTCCACTCAAAGTCATCCCTCTGCTCACTGAGAAAAATGCTTCTGATTGCCTCCTTTGGAAAGTCTAATCAGAAACTCAAAAGAATGCCACGTCTGTCTCTCCCATACCTGTGACCTGGAAGCCTCCGCCCTGCCTGAGTTGTCCCGCCTTTCTGCGCGAACCAGCGTTCATCTTACATACTGACTGATGTATCATGTCTCCCTAAAATATATAAATCCAAGCTGGGCGCGCCCACCTTCGGCACATACTGTCAGGACCTCAGAAGGACACAAACCAGGGAGGCACATGGCAGAGCAATTAGAGCCTGGGGTCCTGCCAGTGGACCGCAGGAGGACCTCAGGGGGCTGTGTCACAGGCACACGTCCTCAACCCTGGCAAAATAAACTTTCTAAATTAACTAAGACCCGTCTCAGGTATTAGGGGTTCAAGGAATATAGGAAATATATGGATTTGATTACCTAACTCATTGATTAGCTACATATATCATATGCAATTGATAGGAGGAGAAAATATGGCCCTGAAGATAAACATCGGTCAGGTGGAAAGAGAACTTTAACCAAATATATGGGGAGAGGGGCTACTGAGTAACAAGATGCTCTCTGCCACAGGCTTCCAGTTACAGGTTGCACTGAATCTGGCGTCTAATGGCATTAACGTTTTCCACAGAATAAAGAAACACGATCTACCTGGAAGAGAAAGAATTCACGTCAGGAAGCAAATGCTCAGCTCCATTGTGGCCTGAATAAATGTAAACAAGAGAGTGTTGTTCCCACAGTTCTGGGAGGTCATCTGTTCTCTGGACAAAAGCCTTCTCTGCGGCACCAGACTCCACACTGCACCAGTATCTACAGCCTGGAGCTATTTTAAACTCAGCTTTCCTAGCAACTTCCTCCCACTCCCCCACCACCACCACCCTCACCCTCGCCCACCCAATCATCAGGTCTGCGACTCAGCTGGCCAAGCGTCCTTTCCCTCCACTCTTCCAGCACTGGCATTCTAGGACTAAGACACAAAGCGGGGAGGCATATGGCAGAGCAAATGAGAACCTGGGCTCCTGTGTCAATGGACCTTGATTTGAATCCCAGCTGGACAACCCAGAAGCAAAGGCCTCCTATCCAAGCAAACAGAAAGCAAGCGACCCACAAGGGTGGAGCGCTGGGAAAAGGGTCACAGCAGGAGGCCGGCTCAGACCAGACAGAGGGAAAGGGGAAAAGGTGGTGGGAAATGGGGAGGCTTCTGATATTTACTTATTCTTTTTGAGACAGAGTCTCACTCTGTTGCGCAGGCTGGAGTGCAGTGGCACGATCTCAGCTCACTGTAACCTCCACCTCCCAGGTTCAAGTGATTCTCCTGCCTCAGCCTGCTGAGTAGCTGGGATTACAGGAGTGTGACACCATGCCAGGCTAATTTTTGTATTTTTTTTTAGTAGAGACAGGGTTTTACCATGTTGGTCAGGCTGGTTTCGAACTCCTGACCTCACATGATCCGCCCATCTTGGCCTTCCAAAGTGCTGGGATTATGCGCGTGAGCCACTGCGCCCAGCCAGAGTTTTTCAAAAAATTGACTTTGACTAAATCGGCAGTCCCCCTCAAACCAGAATTGGTTCAGAGTGACTCCCAAGGAGATGTTTTAAAGCAAAGACTGCAACTGGCCCCTCGGGGAATTAGGAAAGCCAAGTGCCTGAGCGCTGTGGGCTGATGGTCTCCAGGTGGGCACAGGTGCTCTGCCAGCTCGGGGCCCCACCTCGGGTCAGCTCACATCGCTGTCAGCAGGTGAGGCAGCCAGGTCAGGGCAGTCACTTGGTAACCAATTTCAATCTGCTTCCTCACTTGTAAAGTGGAATAAAAGAGCCTATCTACAAAGTAAGTGTGAGCAATAAATGAGACATTGCCGCACAAGCACTCTCTAAATGTTGTTCTTAGACCTTTTATATGTTCTTTAAGTGTTCTGCAAACCGTGGTTCACTGGCAGGATCTCTGGCTGCCACTCAGGAGCCCAGGCTCCTCTCCGGGCCAAGCAATGTCATCTACACCCTGGGCTTGTCAAGGTCAAATAAAAATACAGAGATGAATCCCTACAACAGTTTCATTTGGGAAAAGAGAACTGCAATTTGAGATGTACAGGAAGACCAGAGTGCTCTTCAGTATGTTTGAAGAACAAACAGAAGGTTGGCGGTTTTATTAGAAAGAGAAATGTCCCTCGTCTACGTGGCCCTGCTGCGAGCTGCTCCTTTATCTTAAAGAAAGTAGACAGCATATGAAGACTGGATACCACATGTGAATGCATATGAAGAACCTGGTTAGTGTCTACTCTCTGCAAGTGAATAGGCTCAGAAAGGTCTAAGAGGCTTTCTGAATGAACCTAAAAATACTGCTTGCTAAGAACAAGTTTAGCTCTGGAAACTGACCTTCATAGCCAAAGTATAAAACCAAAGGTGGGGGGGAGGAGGAAAAGAAGGAAGAGCAGAGCAGAGAAGGGAGAAAACAAAGGTAACTATTGTTTTGAAACCTCGTTGGTACTACAGTGAAGTTTCTGGGAGCTGGTAAATTCTGGCTGATGAGCGAGTGACAGTGCTGAGAAACACCAGTCTTAGAGTCACAGCAGTTCATTTCAGCAGCAAGAAGGTAACACTGGTCTTAAAGTTACAGCAGGTCACTTTGGCAGCTGGCCTTCAGGATAATCCCTGGGCAGACACTCTGTGCCCCAGTTTTTCTTCTCCCCTGGTCTCTCAACTCTAGTTTAGTTGGGTGTAACAAGGTAAGTCCAACTCATATCATCGATTTTCACAGACTGTATACTCACTGAGAGCAGAACCCAAGGGGCTCAGTTGCCATTGCAAGCTCCAGACCAGGCACAGTGGCAGGAGCTACGTCAACCCCCTCCAGGAAATAACAAGAGCCCAGGGGGCAGAAGCTGCTGGAGCATCATGTCCTATCAGCAGATGGCATATAGAACCCCCCTGTCCCCCTGGCACACGGCCAATATTTTCAAACTAAATAGCTTTAAGTGTTTTAAAATTAAAAACATGATATACTTTTATGTGAGGATCCTAACATCACCTACAAAGCACTCTAAAATGTCCTTCATGAAAAGGAAAACATGACCATGAGAATCCACAACCTATTTTATAACCTATCTACCGTATGGTAATAATGCAGTCAAAACATACAACATGTTAACTTCCATAGCTCTAAATTACACCCAGAAGAAACTGAAGACACTGTCATTCCTATTTTCCATTCTCATCTCAGCCTTGCCAGTCAGTATCAACTTCAATTAAAATGACTGTCAAATCAGTACTAATTTGATTCCTTGCACTGAAGGGGTGGCTGTATTTTAAAATACTTGAGCCACAATAAGGGGCCAATGGGGCAACGCTACCATCTGTGGGATTATGACTGAGCCCCTTTAAATCTCAATCCCGCCCAGAGGGACAGATGCGGCAGTGCCCATGGAGCCTCAGCTGGCCTCAGACAGCCAGTCCCCTCCGCCTGATGCAAGCCAGGACCGGGGTCCGGTGTGGAGAGCCCCTCGTCCTGGGAAAGGCAGTTATCCGCTTGCCTGTCAGGTAATACACGTTAGTGTGGAACCTGGCTCTAAACCATTCGTAGACGACCTGCTTCTGAGTGGAGATTTCATACACAGCAGAGCAACTCCCTCGAGGTCATCTACTGAAAGTCAGTCCTCAATACACAAAAATTAAAAAAAAAAAAAAAAAAAAGGCCGGCCGGCACGGTGGCTCACGCCTATAATCCCAGCACTTTGGGAGGCTGTGGCCGGGGGATCACAAGGTCAAGTGATCAAGACCATCTGGCCAATACGGTCAAACCCCACCTCTACCAAAAATACAAAAATTAGCTGGGCGTGGTAGCATGCTGCTGTAATCTCAGCTACTCAGGAGGCTGAGGCAGGAGAACTTGAACCTGAGAGGCGGAGACTGCAGTGACAGAGTGAGACTCTGTCTCAAAAACAAAACAAAAGAAAACAAAACAAAACAATAGTTGAGCCAACCAGGCACTCGTGTTAAACACAGATAGGATAACACGGATAATACAAGGATGTTTATTCATTCCCTTCCCCTCCTTAACCTCTGGTTTTCCAAAAAAAAAAAAAAACCACAGAGATAGGATAATACAACGTGTTTATTCCCTCTCCTCCATGACCTCTGGTCGTTTTAAGGACCTGGCTGATTTGGATTCATGAAAGTAAAGCAAAATCTCTATGACAAAGAAATCTCTTATGAAGCTTGAGTGATGTACAAACCCTCCTTTTAAAAATGTTTCCTTGAAACTTTAATGTTGACCAGTTATTTTTTTTCCCTTGCAGAACTCAGTTTATTGACTACTTATTTTAATTTTAATTTTTTCTTTTCTTTTTTTTTTTTTTTTTGAGACAGAATCTCGCTCTATCACCCAGGCTGGAATGCAGTGGCACAATCTCAGCTCACTGCAACCTTTCACCCCCCCCCCCGGGGTCAAGTGATTCTCTCCCCTCAGTCTCCCACGTAGCTGGGATTACAGGCGTTGACACCAGGCCCAGCTAATTTTTGTAATTTTAGTAAAGACAGCATTTCACCACGTTGGCCGGGCCAGTCTCAAATTCCTGACCCGCAAGTGATCTGGCCACCTCAGCCGCCCAAAGTCGTGGGATTACAGGCATGAGCTACCTCGGCTGGCCAGTTATTTTTATTATGACATTACCTAAATAGGTGCAAACAAACTAGTTTCAAAAAGAACAAAACAAAACCAAAAAAAAACCCCAAGAAGCCTCACATAATTATAAAATGTGAACAACATATATTTAATGGAGAAAATGACAATTTGTTGAAGACAATTTCCCCTTCAAAATGAATATAGAAATGAACAGCAGGGCACAGCTTCTTTCAAACTCGGCAGAAGCTGTTTTATGACTCACTGCTCCCATCACTCTATTTAAATCTTTATTTGTACAGCTCCCCATCTGCAAAGTACGTACCCTGGGCTATAGTTGGCTCAAACACATCATTTACATGTTAATTTCAACTCTATTC